GGAGGGTTAGCCTAAGGGAGAGAAAGAAGATGGGGGGGGGGGGGGGGGGGGCGGGGGAGACTGATTGATTGATCCCAGACCTGGTCTCATCACACAATCACCTCTCTGACCTTGTGAAACAGTGAATCAAAGTAGGAGCTGTTTCTCGTAATTGGTCCTTTCCGAAAATTTGGCCAGTGACAAGAAAGTACTTTCTTCCAACATTATTTCTATCCTGAAGATTTGTGATTTCTCACCCCTGATTTGTCTGTTTCATCCTCTGCCAATACACGAGATGCCTCCCTCCTCTGCTGCTGCACCATTACCTGTTACTCCTCTCTCAAAAATCTGCTCAAAATTCAGGCTCTACATGATGTCCCCCTAAGAGAAATGCCCTGACTTACCATACCTTTATTTTTTTGCCCCTCAGAATGTGTGTAAATATTTTTAAATGTAGGTATTTTTCACTTTACATCATCATCCTAACTAAATTGGTTGTAAGATGATTCTCGCTAAAGCAATTGACAAAGGGCTCTCTTTTTTAGATCAGAAGTTCTCAATAGGGTAAGGTGGGAGGTGGGGGAAAGAAATTATATCAAAATACAAATGGAAGTGAGAGGCTAAGGGAAGAAAGAGTAAGAGAGAGAGGGGAAAAAAAGGTGTAATTTTAAATAGTTTTCCAGGCATTCCATTAGATACTGAAGCAGTAGATGTTATGCAGTTTGGGGCAGGGTGAATGTAGTCAACACTGGTATTTTTAAACAAGTATCCAATCTTCTAATATATTAAGAAATCTGAAGACCATGCTTTAGACCATGAACAGCAATGCAGAAGGCTTTCCATCCAGTACTCTATGAAAAAGTTTGAAACACAAAAACTTCAAGAGAAGTCATAGCAGACAAGGGTACAAGAAATTCTGGCAGGTGAATTATTCACTTTATTCTGCCTCATTTACTACTCACCATGAAGTATCAATGATCACAAAGCCCTTATAGTTAGTTTTTACTAGTTCGTTTGATGACCATAAAACTTGAAAAGGAGGAGTAGAATATTTGCTTCTAGCCCAAAAAAGGAACAACCATCATCAGGACATGTGGTTGTGAGACAATCAACCACAAACAATAGGCAAATTCATACACAGTTTGAGCCTTTTCATCCCAAAACATGTTTGTCTCTTTAAAGCCTCATGCTCTCATTGACGGTGTTTACAAATATCTCCTGATCCTGGCTAAGTGTGTCTGAATAGCAGACTTCGGTTGGCAACAACTGTGACGCTTAAGGAAAAAAGGCATTAGGCACTTAAATACCCAAAACAGTTGACCAGGGCATACAAATTCTCTAAACCTGGGGGAGGAACCATTCTTTGGTGTGAAGTAGTGATTTAATTCATGCATTTCTTTATTTTTCCCCCCATACCCCCTCCTTCTTGAGCCTCCCTCCCACCCTCCCTATCCCACCCCTCTAGGTGGTCACAAAGCACTGAGCTGATCTCCCTGTGCTATGCAGCTGCTTCCCACTAGCTGTCTATTTTACATTTGGTAGTGTATATTTGTCAATGCTACTCTCTCACTTTGTCCCAGCTTCCCTCCACACCCGTGTCCTTAGGTCCATTCTCTATGTTTGCATCTTTATTCCTGTCCTGCCACTAGGTTCATCAGTACCATTTTTTTTTTATTTTTAGATTCCATATATATGCGTTAGCATACAGTATTTGTTTTTCTCTCTCTGACTTACTCTGTATGACAGACTCTAGGTCCATCCACCTCACTACAAATAACTCAATTCCATTTTTTTTATGGCTAATATTCCATTGTATATATGTACCACATCTTCTTTATCCATTTGTCTGTCGATGGGCATTTAGGTTGCTTCCATGACCTGGCTATTGTACATAGTGCTACAATGAACAACTGTAGCATGTGTCTTTTTGAATTATGGTTTTCTCTGGGTACATGCCCAGTAGTGGGATTGCTGGGTCATATGGTAAGTCTATTTTTAGTTTTTTAAGGAACCTCCATACTGTTCTTCATAGTGGCTGTATCAATTTACATTCCCACCAACACTGCAGGAGGGTTCCCTTTTCTCCACACCCTCTCCAGCATTTGTTGTTTGTAGATTTTCTGATGATGCCCATTCTAACTGGTGTCAGGTGATACCTCATTGTAGTTTTGATTTGCATTTCTCTAATTATTAGTGATGTTGAGCAGTTTTTCACGTGCCTCTTGGCCATCTCTATGTCTTCTTTGGAGAAATGTCTATTTAGGTCTTCTGCCCATTTTTGGATTGGGTTCTTTTTTTAATATTGAGCTGTTTATATATTTTGGAGCTTCATCCTTTGTCTGCTGATTCATTTGCAAATATTTTCTCCCATTCTGAGGGTTTCTTTTCATCCTGTTTATAGTTTCCTTTGCTGTGCAAAAGCTTTAAATTTCATTAGGTCCCATTTGTTTGTTCTTTTTTTTTTCCATTACTCTAGCAGGTGGGTCAAAAAAAGATCTTGTGATTTATGTCAAAGAGTGTTCTTGCTATGTTTTCCTTTAAGAATTTTACAGTGTCCAGTCTTAATTTAGGTCTTTCATCCATTTTGAGTTTATTTTTGTGTATGGTGTTAGGGAGTGTTCTAATTTCTTTCTTTTAATGTTGCTGTCCAGTTTTCCCAGCACCACTTATTGAAGAGACTGTCTTTTCTCCATTGTATATCCTTGCCTCCTTTGTCATAGATTAGTTGATCATAGGTACATGGGTTTGTCTCTGGGCTTTCTATGCTGTGCCATTGATCTATGTTTCTTTTTTTGTGCCAGTACCATATTATCTGGATTACTGTAGCTTTGTAGTAGAGTCTGAAGTCAGGGAGCCTGATTCCTCCAGCTCCATTTTTCTTTCTCAAGATTGCTTTGGCTATTCGGAGTCTTTTGTGACTCCATACAAATTTTAAGATTTTTTGTTCTAGTTCTGTAAAAAAAATGTCATTGGTAATTTTTTTTTTTTTTTTTGGTACGCGGGCCTCTTACGGTTGTGGCCTCTCCCGTTGCGGAGCACAGGCTCCGGACGCGCAGGCTCAGCGGCCATGGCTCACGGGCCCAGCCGCTCCGCGGCATGTGGGACCTTCCGGGACCAGGGCACGAATCCGTGTCCCCTGCATCGGCAGGCGGACTCTCAACCACTGCACCACCAGGGAAGCCCGTCATTGGTAATTTGATAGGGATTGCATTGACTCGTGTTGTTTTAAGTCACTATGTTTGTGGTGATTTGTTAGAGCGGCAATAGGAAACTGATACAAGTCATAATTTCACTGAAACATGTTTTCCTTCAGTGTACCGTATCTTGGTAAATGGCATAAACATTAGCTGTTTGTTCAAGACAGAAACATGTGCCATCTTCTTCTTCTCCTCACACTCCCAATCCAGCCAACATCAAGTTCTCCAGATTCTACTTACCAAATACTTTTTCAAAGTTACCCACTGTACTACTTCTCTAATACAGAGCATCACCATCATTATCACCTTCCTTTGGCAGGGAACAAGGAGACAGTACATACTCAGCATTCTCCATTTAGCCACCACAATAAACCTTCTAAGTTGACTATTTCTGGCAATTATTCCTGTCTCCTGAAACTCTTCCATGGCTTGCTCTTTCACTCAGAATAAAGCCCAAACTGCTTGACATGCCTTACAAGGTCCTCCGAGGTTTGCCTCTCTTCAGCCTTATTTCCTGACCCACCCTGATGCTAAACTTCTGACCCTGGAAGCATCTGGAGGTCCCCTTGCCCCATTATCCCCTCACAGAAGAGGCTCCAGTGTTCTGCACCCTCTGCCATTCACCATCAGGGCCCAACTTATTCCCTTCAGATTGTCCCTGATCCCCTAAATTGTTAGCACCTAGATATTAGGACCTTGAACTTTTGCTTCTAGACACTCATCACAATATTTAGTAGTCTGTCCCAGGAGTGCAGAGTTTTTGTCTGACTTGTCCACTACTCTATCGCCACTTCTAGCACCCATCACATAGTAGGTGCTCAGTAAATATTTGTCAGATGGCAATTGCTCACTAAACAGCTGTAAATTACTATGCTTAAAATCTCCACTATGGTTCCTATGACATTTTTAATAACATTTTCCTGTGAAGTCCTTACCAATGGAGTGTCCACATACTATTTAAAACACAGTAATTTAGTGCCTATCCCCAGTTTTTACATTCTGGACTTTCCTCCTCCTTTGGAAATAGACAGGAAGTGGTAGGAGAGAGAATGGCTTTATTCTAATTTTTTTTACATTTATAATGTCATACCATGTATTTATCGAGCACCTTCTATGTGCCAATCACTAAGCATTGAGAATACAGTAAGCGAATAAAACATAGTCTCTGTTTTTACAAAGTTTGCATTCTAGTGTGTGCGAATAAGGCGAGGAGAAGTCTGAATGTAAACAAACTGAAAATTATATACAACACAGTGCCAAAGTCAGAAAGGGGATGGGGGTGGGGGGATAGTGTATGTGAGAGAGAAGTGTTAATTTTATACTTCCGATGATCGGGAAAGCTTCCCGAATAAACCGACTTTTCAGCAGGGACCAACAACAAATGGGGAGTTGGTGTCAGGTCACAGTGAAGCATGAAGATCAAAAACTCAAATCGCAGGTTATCAGTTGCAAGGTGTATGCGACTAAACATGTCAAAGTAGTCCCTCTGGGCCTGCCTTCTAGTTGTGAAAGAACAATACTACTACACACTTCGTACGCTTGTTATAAAAAAAAAATGATCAGCAAGGAAATTAAGACGAAGTAAGCGTTCTATCAAGAATTCTAACCATTGGCTGAGACTGAGAAACCAAGCGGTGGAAAGCCCACCGGCCTTCCACCACGCGCACCGCCCCCTCTGGCTAGAGTACAGCTGGTGATTGGCTATTCAACCCGCCCGTCCCGCCCCTCCCGGCCGTCCAGCCCAATCCCGGCCGACCTTGCGCTGACACAGGTTCCCAGGGACCCCGCCGAGGGCGCGGTCCCCGTGACGTTTGATGACGTGTTACGTCACCGTGGCGGAAGTCACGGCAGCTGTGTTGAAATCGTATCGCCCGGTCTTAGAAGCTTCTGCTCACGCCGAGGCCAGCGACGGTCGGGCGGACCCCCTGACGCCTACTCTGCAGCCCTGCTGACCTGACGCCGCTGCCACGCCATGTCCACCCCTCCGTTGGCTGCGTCAGGGATGGCGCCCGGGCCCTTCGCCGGGCCCCAAGCCCAGCAGGCGGCCCGGGAGGTTAACACCGCATCGCTCTGCCGGATCGGGCAGGAGACGGTTCAGGACATCGTGTACCGCACCATGGAGATCTTCCAGCTCCTGAGGAACATGCAGGTGGGAAGGAAGGAGGGCTCCGGTCACGGCCGTGCGTGGAGAAAGCGGGATGTTTCTGCGAGGGAGGGGGCTGCTGGTTTAATTGTTACGTGGGGCCCCTGGGCGTCGACGCGGCTGCCCTGGCCAAACCTCGAGCATGTTGGTCGCCCCCATTTACATTCAGAAGCGTTCCCCAATAATGTGTCTGTCCCCAAGATGTGGAGGTGATGTTTTCTAGGCCGGATTTCTGGAAGATTGAAGCCACATTTTCTAGATTCGACCGGGTTCTCAGGTTTCTAGGCGAACTCTTGTTATCTTTCAAGGTAGAGGTGAGTCTCATTGCGCCATGCTCTTGGGATTATTTTAATCTCATATTTTTTCACAGAATACTTTTTGAGGGTCCAAGGTGTTGAATTCAGATTCTGCTAAGCATTTTGTTAAACAGCTTTATTTTGGTATAACTGACGTACAGTACAATGCATTTAAAGTTTTGACACATGTGGACGTGTGAAACCATCCATCACCCCACAAAGTTTCCTCGTGCCCCTTTTAAATCTTTACTTCTGGCCTTCCATCCACAGCCAATCTCTGCTTTGCTTTCTGGCACCGTAAATTAGTTTGCATTTTATAGAATTTCATATAACATACACTATGATTTTTGGTACAGGCGGGCGGTGTGGCTCCTTTCACTCAGCATATATCAGTAGTTCCTTCCTCTTCATTGCTGAACAGTGTTCTACCGTATGAATATAACACAATTAGCGTATCCGTTCATCTGTTGATGGACATTTGGGTTGTATCCACTTTGGAGCTCTTATAAATAATACTGCTATGAGTGTTCAGCTACAAATGTTTGTGTGAACATGTGTTTCATTTCTCTTAAGAAGATAGATGCCTGGGAGTGGAATTGCTGGGTTAAAAGGGAAATGTCTGTTTAACATTTTAAGAGACTTTTCCAAAGTGGCCGCACCATTTCACATTTTCATCAGCAGTGCTTGAGCCTTCTAGTTACTCCTCATTCTTGCCAGCACTTGTTATTGTACGTCTTTTCTTTTTTTTTTCTGTATTGTATGTCTTTGTTTTGTCTCCCAGTCTGTGGCTTTTCATTCTCTTCATATTGCCTTTTGAAGAACAGATATGTTAAATTTTGATGGAATCCAATTTATTGATTTGTTCTTTTACAGATTTTGCTTTTGGTTCCATATCTAAGAAATCTTTGTCTAACCCAAGGTGGCAAAGATTTCCTATGTTTTCTTCTGGAAGTTTTATAGTTCTAGGTTTTACATTGAGGTCTATGATCCGCATGGAGTTAATTTTTTTATATAATGATAGATATGGATTTTTTTTTTTTTTGCATTTGGATATCCAATTATTTCAGCACCATTTTGCTTATCCTTTTTTTTTTTTTTTTTTTTTGCGGTACGCGGGCCTCTCACTGCTGTGGCCTCTCCCGCCGCGGAGCACAGGCTCCGGACGCGCAGGCTCAGCGGCCATGGCTCACGGGCCCAGCCGCTCCGCGGCATGTGGGATCTTCCCGAACCGGGGCACGAACCCGTGTCCCCTGCATCGGCAGGCGGACTCTCAACCACTGCGCCACCAGGGAAGCCCTTGCTAACCCATTTTTAATGCTTATCTTTACTACTATGTGATGTGGATATCATTCTTGTTTTATGGATGAGGATTCTATGATTCTGAGAGGTGAAGTGACTTGTCCAAATCTAGTCAATATAGGGTAAATTTGAATCCAGGCTCTCAGACTCTTAGAACTTTAGAACTCTTATTTCAATTGGTGCACTAAATGTTTTATTGCCTTTTTTTTTTTAATGGTTGAGGTTTTTTTTTCCTATTGATTGTAGAAGTAATACAGTTGTATGGAAATATTTTAAGACCATGTCAATAAAGCCAGCGTGAAATAAAATACAAAGGGAATCCAAGAGAAGATATGAAATCTTTGGCAATAGTTTTAAAAATTAATGGATTAATATATAAGATGATTAAAGTATGGGTTAAATGATCTCAGAATTTAGCAAATATTTCTTTATTTTCAACCTGCTGTATTGGACTAGTAGAGCTAATAGCTAACATCTATCAAGTACTTTCCTTGGTCAGGTATACTGTTATAAGTACAGTTCTAAGAAGTATTTTTATCTCTATTTTACAGTTAAGGAAATTGAGGCTTAAAGAGAGAAGACTTTACCCAACATCACACATGACTGGTAGCTCGTCCTACGAACCTCTTTATAATACTAACTTGCTGTCAAACAATTTGTACTATTAACAGAAATATAATACACATCCATAACTGACACTGAAAGAACTGAACTCTTTCAAAAAAGTATTATTAATAACTAGATTACATGTGGACATATGTTCTAAACCAGTTTGTAAGGGACTACAATAGTTATTTCTTTGTGCTTCTTATATTGTGAATCCTGTGATTTAACTCCTCTAAGACCCTGTGGGCCATATCATAATTGGCTGGAAATGAAGCAACAGTGTGCTCCTTCATTTATAAAAAGCTGAGAGAAGTGGTACAAACAAGACTACATATAAGCTATTTATTAATGCATTCTTTTAAATATTCAAATTTTAAAAATTATCTTCTATATTATTAATCTAGAAGGATGAAGTGCCATAAATATCAACTGCTGAGGTTATTTCTGAGCATTTGTTTTAGAGAAATGGTTCTTTATTAGTTGTCCTTTAGCCTCTTGAAAATCTAATGAAAACTATGGACTCTCTTCTGAGAAAAATGCACATGTAAACATTTTGAATAAAATTTCAGGGGGTTAACAGATGTCTCCCTAAAGATCGCTAGATCCCAGATTAAGATTCCCTGCATAAGAAAGTATTGCTTTGGTTCTATTTGTTATGCTTTAAATCTTTAAAAAAAATTGTTTTGAATATATAATAGAACATATTCAGAATTCAGAAATAAAAAAGGACATTACAGTGAACATTCCCCCTCCCATCACTATCTGCTAGCTAACTTTTCTCCACAGGTGATGATTATTATGGATTTTTATTACTATCCTAATATATCCTCTTCCACATAGTCTGTGCATATTTAAGCAAATGTATATTCTTTCATTTCCTCCCTTTTTGCACAGATAATACTGGTATATTATACACATTTTGCACCTTGCTTTTTTCATTTGGTACATTTTGGAGTTTATTCATATCTATACAGAAAATACTTCCTTTTCCTTTTAAGGTGTATAGTATAGTAATCCACTGCATGGACATACTGTGCTTTATTTAGCCAGTCCTCTAGCGAAGGGCATTTAGATGGCTTTTAATCTCTCACTGTTATACTGTAGTGAATACCTGCCTACATAAATGCTCAAGTATACCTGCAGCATAATTCTTAGAAGTGGCTTTCTGCTTCTGTAATTAGATAAATTATGATGAATTGCACTCCATGGGAGTTGTACCAGCTTATGCTACCATTTCCTGACCAACAATCAAGCTGAGACTAACACAGCAAATTATATTTCTGGATCTTTGATCATTTGATAGGTGAAAATCTACTTTACATTTCTCTTAGTCTTAATGAGTTCCAGCATCTCTTCATATTTTTATGAATCATTTCTGTTTCCTTTTCCGTTAACTGCTTGTTCATATTATTTGCCCATTTTTCTATCTTTTTTTTTTTTTTGGTCTTTTTTACCCTCTCCCCCAACTTATAAGATTTGGCTATTTACATATTAGAAAAACTTGCTCTGTATGATATAACTTGCAAGTATTTTCCCCCCAGTCTGTTGTTTACCGTTTGCCATACATATATTTTTTTAAGGTAGCTGAATTTATCAGTCATTTTAGGTTCAATGTCTAAGTCAGGAAGTCCTTCCCCACTCCAAAATCAGGAAAAATTCAGTTTTGTTTCAATTTTTATACTTAAAACTTTGATCTGTATGGAATTTATCCTAGTATGGAGTGTAAGGCATGGCCCCAGCTTTACTTTTTCCAAAAAGTTGATTAAATAATTCGTTTTCCTCCTCCACTGATTTCAGATGCTACTTCATATAAATGAATCAATTTATGGATGCTTATTCCACTTAGCTGCCTTCTTTTATGTAGTAATGGCAAACTTTCTTACATTTATTGAGGCTCTGTAAAGTATTTACACTTATTTTTCAAAATCGCCTTGGCCATTCTTGCTTATCTTTCCACATGTACTTTAGAATCACCTTAATAGTTCTGAGAAAATCCTGTTAGTGCTTTTATTCCGTTGATTTAACCTAGAGAGACTTTATATTGGTATGATGTTGAGTCTTATTAACCAAGAACACAAAATATCCTTTTTTGTGTCTCTATGAAGTATTTTAAGTTTTCATATTTATCTTGACATTTTTTAAGTCAAATATTTTATCTGGATATTTTATCTTTATTGTTGCTGTTGTAAATGGGGTTTTTTTCCTTTCTCATTTTCTTTTGTTTTTATATATGAAAGCAGAGCTATGGTTTTCTGTGTATTAATTTTGTACCCATCTCTCTCTTGACTTCCTTTATTGATAGAACTTTATATCATTTGTAAATAGTGACAATTATGCCACAGCTTTTTAATATTTCAACGTTTTTTTCCTTCTCTGATTGCATTGGCCATACCTCCAGAACAGTGTTCACTGGTAGTATTAGTGGTCTTAGTAGACATCCTGTTCTGTTCCTGACTTTAGTGCAGATGCTTGTAATATTTCCACATTCATCATGGTGCTGACTTTTTAACTGAGATAAATGTATTTTATTGTGTTGGGGAATTTTTATTAAGAGTTTTATATTTGTTTTAAGAATGGATGTTGAATTTAGTTGAATGCCTTTTTAGTGTCTAGCGGTATGATCACATATTTATTTACAGATATTCAGTATTCATTAGTGAGATGGTTACTGATGAGCTTGTTAGCTAAACATCTACATTATATAGTATTATCCCAAGAGCTCCTAGGCACTATTATATACTCTATGGTATAGGAAACTTATCTCTCTCATGTTCACTGCTCTACCTCAGCTTCTAGAACAGTGCCTGACAACATGAAAAGTAAATTTTTTGAATGAATTAATTGCTCCCTTCTTTGAGAAGCTGATGCTCTATGTGAAAACTAATACCCAAACTTGCTAAGAGGGTGAATTTGAGGAGGGTGGTTCTTTGTATTTCAAAGGATTTTGTTTTCCTTTATGAAAGGATTTATCAAGAGTTCTTTTGCATAACACAGAATTCTTAGTGAATTTTAAGTGTCCATTTATGGAAAAAATAATTCATGAAAGTAAAATAATCCAGACTGTACTTCAAGACTTTCTGTGTGTGTGTGCACTATACTAAATACAGGGATATAAATGTCAGCTGCTTCTAGTCTTTATTAAGTACAAAATATGGGCAAAGTACTCAACGTAGTCAGTACCATAATAAAGGTAGAGCCTGCTTCTGTATGCAAGATGTAATCATTATACTTATTATCACCCAAACAAGAAAGCAGTGACCCTTTGAAACTTTTCTCTTATTTGATAATGTTTGTGAAGTTCATAAATTGAAAGGTCATGAGAAATCCTATGTTGTATTGGGGGGTGAACTCTTATAATGCTTTTCTCCTTTAAACTGTTTTGACTAATTCAGTCCTTGGTACTTTTATCACATTTCTTTGAGATATAATCCTCAGAATGTTTTAATTCTTGAGAATTTCCAAAAATCCTAATAAAACTCATTTCAAAGAATTTCAGAAGATCCATCTCCTTAACTTATAAACATAACATTACAGGAAATTTGGAAATGAGAGAAAAGAAGAAAATGAATTATTACGCCCACCTTCCTATTACATCTTTTATCAACTATTACACCTTTTAACAACTACAGATAGGCCTTTACAGTCTTTTTTTTTTTTTTTTAGTGTTTATGGTTTACCTACTTGTAACGTTACCTACTTGTAACGATAGTGTGTCTTGTTTTCTTTCTTCTCTGAACACTCTACCAGGCTCTTTTTTTTTTTTTTGCATTCCTACCTCATCTGTTCAGAAAAGAAAAAAAGGATGAACTGAGGTTTAGAAAGACTGGACTGATCTTCTAGCTATTAGACAGTAGTTTGGGTCTTGGTTTTAAGTCACTTTATTCCCCAAGGTAAGTGTATGTATGAGTGCTTATAATGAAATTACCTCGTATACTAGAAAACATGGTACAAATTTTGTTAATTCTAATTTCACGATGATTTCACAGATCAAATTGTGGGAATAAAATACTGTAAAGATGTACAGAGAAAGGAAGATTTTGTTTGTGAGTTTCAGCACTGCACAAAAGGTGCATTTAGTTCTAAATAGGTAGTAGTTTTTCCATTTATCTGTGATTTTTGTCATTTCAGTATATATTTTTGGCTTCTTTTGATAAAATTCCTGAATTAAAAATATATAAGCATCCAACACAGAGTTATGATCATAGCAGTTACTTGTAATAATTTATTAATGATATGATTTGTACCTATCTCCTGCTATTGATTTCCTTTTAAAGTAAAACTTCTTTTTTTTTTTTTTTTGCGGTACGCGGGCCTCTCACTGTTGTGGCCTCTCCCGTTGCGGAGCACAGGCTCTGGACACGCAGGCTCAGCGGCCATGGCTTATGGGCCTAGCCGCTCCGCAGCATGTGGGATCTTCCCGCACCGGGGCACGAACCCATGTCCCCTGCATCGGTAGGCGGACTCTCAACCACTGCGCCACCAGGGAAGCCCTTAAAGTAAAACTTTTGGTGACAGCTTTATGTTTTAATGCATACCTTGAGTATCTTAATTATCTTATCATATTTAAGGTATTTTGAGATTATTTTTGCAACAGTGGCAGCATACTCTTCTTTTTCTTCTGCTGAAAAGTCCTGATCTTAATTTTTTTCTTTTCTTCTTCTTTTTCTTTATTGAGAAGCTGCCAAACGGTGTCACTTACCATACTGGAACATATCAAGACCGGTTAGCAAAGCTCCAGGATCATCTTCGCCAACTCTCTATTCTCTTCAGGAAGCTGCGATTGGTCTATGATAAATGCAATGAAAACTGCGGAGGGATGGATCCCATTCCAGTAGAGGCAAGTTTTAGTGGTAGAGGGAGGATGAGTCTAAGATAGTCTCAGGACATTTGTAATTTTTTCCTTTCTCTCTTCTGTTTTCACCATATTTCCAGGTTATGAAACATACTGGTTTTGCTTTTGACTACAGAAGATGAAATTGTGATATATATATATATACACACATAGAATTATTACTGTCTTTTCTTGTTAATAATTTCTAGTAGACTTTAACATCCAGCCTGATAGTAAATTTTTGTTGTTGGGAGGAGAAGGTTGTCTGTGGCAATTTTTATTATTGCTTCCAGTGTCTCATTTTAATTAAATCAGTGCATGATGTTTCAGTAGGCATATTAATAGTATTGTAAAATCCTTTTAAAGTGGTTTTCATGTAAGTTCTTTATGGATAAAAGGTTATAACTATTTTTATCATTATTAATTTAAATTATCTTAGTGGAATCACTCTAGTTTTTAAATATTTTTTAAATTTAATCTCACATCATAGATATATTTTAGTTAATTAGGTATATGATATTTTTATAGGTGCCCTTTTCCTGTTGACAAGTTATATGTCTGCCACCAAAGGTAGCTGGGAAGGTTTGGATGTTCTCTCATTACATATAAGGAACAGTTTCCTGTGATCAGTGCTTTCTTCTTTGAGTGATCAGCATGTAAAGAGTGCACAGAGAAAGAGTAAACTGCAATACAGCCTGAAAAGAAGGGGTCAGAGATGTGGAAGATGGGAAATGTGGTTGACATTGACAGATGCTGCAGAGAAGTTAAGGAAAATAATGAATGAAAACTGTCCACCAGATTAATTGTTGGTATATTTGAGCAGAGCTTCTGTGAAAAGGTAGCAACAAGAAGTCAGATCACAGTGAGCTGAAGATTAAACAGGAAATAAGTAACTGAAGCCAGAAAGTGGATATCCATCTTTCAAGAAGGTTAGATTAAAAGCAAGAGAAGAAAGCAGTAGATGGAAGGAGGGATAGAGTTGAGGGTTAGGGATTTTTTCCTCCAAATGGGAGAACATGTTTAGATAAAAAGGAAGAAAATGGTAGGGTGAGGTTGGGGAAAATAAATAATGAAGACAGGAGGGCAGAGGAATCAGGGCACAGGAATGGAGACAAAGTGTCTTCAGGAGGAAGGACCACTCTGCTTGCGATAGGAGGAAAGGAAGAAAGTGGCTGTGAATGTGGGCAAGTTTATATTTGTCCCAAGAATTCATAGAAGTTTGGGCAGATTGACTCCTGATTGTACCAGTTATTTACCTCTGTCCTGTTCCTGCATTGGTAATATAAGATGGAAGGACTAGATAATTCCTGAAGTCTCTGTCACATCTACAAGAGGCTTCATCAAATAAACTTCATCACAAATCATACGTATTTAATTATAATCCTGCTAGAAGTTTCATTGCTATATAAATTTTCTTCTCTTACAAAAAAACTTTCTCCCAACTAAAAGACATCTAGAAATCTGCACAGATACTAGATAGTAAGTAAATGACATTTATATAATACGCATCCATGAACTTCCTTTCTTTTTAGTATAGATGAAGGAAAGCCTGTTCCATCTCAACGAACTATAAATTTTGTAAGGGTAGGACTTATTTGTCATTTGTCTTATTTGTCATTATTTTTGCAGTGTCTCCCCAGCCACTATCTGCCAGTTAAATATTTGCTGATTGACTCAGTAGGATATTACTTAATTACATGTGACAACTAATTTTGCTAAAAGGACTATTTTGCAAAAGAAATCTGAAAAGCTAATGTGTAGAGTGCACTGAAATGATAGACTTCTAAGGCTTTTATTTTAGGCTGTCATTTGAATTAAAATATATTTTTGTACTATTAAGAGAAAAGTATAAAAAGTGATCTTAATTGGATGCATTATCTATACCAGTATAATTGGAAATTGTGTGTCATATGTTTGACTTTTTTAACTTTTGTCTGTCACTCCCAGCAACTTATTCCATACGTGGAAGACGATGGCTCAAAGAATGATGACCGGGCCGGCCCACCTCGTTTTGCTAGTGAAGAGAGGCGAGAAATTGCTGAAGTCAATAAAGTGAGTTGCTAGTTTGTATGTTTTATATTTCCGAATTATTGATACAAATTACAGGGGAGTCTGTGTAACTCAACAACATAATTTGAATTATAGAATTACCTGAAGTTGTTTCTGTGACGAATTTAACCTACTTAGAGTACAACCCAGGACTAAAAGGTAAGCAGAAATGCCATCTGAATAGTCAGAAGAGAGACCACAGAATTCAGGCAGTAAAGCTCTTAGAAAAGCCTCATAGGCACTCAGTCACAACCCATTTACTTTCTTCTTTTCTAGGCAGAATTGTAGCTCTCTAGCTTAGAGCGTATTTGGAGGAGCAAATGATAAAAATTTACAAGTAGGAGAGGTGAATGTCTCAACAGCTGAATAAGAAATTGAGTTATCAAAGCACTACCCCATCCCACCCTCCACCCCACAAAAGTTCCTAACTTGAATTTATTGCTGAGTACTTTTAGAAGTTCAGAAGATAATGTTCAGATAGTTCTCTAGAAACATAGGGAAATAAGGAATGTTGTCAGTTCATTCTGTGGTGGAAACATGGTTACCAAAACCTAACAAATAGCACAGTAAATAAAACTACCAATCTCGCTCCTTCACTTACAAATACATGCTCCCACCTCCTGCCCCACTCCTGAAATTCTTAATGCTAGTTAATAGAATTCATCAGGGTATTAACTAATCCACCACAGCCACAGAGGGTTTTCTGAGGTAGAGGAGGATGACTCAGTTTACATATAATATCAGTAGATTAAATTGAAAAAAAGAATGCTTAAAACTATTAACAAGATAGTCTTTTTTTAAAAAAAACTTATTTCAGATAAGTAGCCAACATTTTTCATTGAGATGAAATATAGGCATAAAACAGGATGCCTTACACCACTGTGTTTAATACTATTTTAGAAGTTATAGCCAGTGAAACTGAAATAAACTTTAGGAAATGGGTTATATTATGTACAAATCTGTTAAGTTCCTTAAGCTTGTACATAACATTTTAACTCAAGCTTAAGCTCAAAGAAGCTCATTGATGAATGAGTCAATAAGTGTTTGAAAGAAGAGCTTAATACAAGATTGATACCATTTTTCTATAATGCCATAAAGAAATTAGAATATGAGATCCTATTCACAATTGCAACAACAAATATTAAGTAGTTAGGAATTATTTCCATGATATATGTAACTAAACTTATTAAGATACATAAAAGAAGTTTTGAATAGTTGAAAGAACACATTAAGTTCTTATATGGGCAATAACTATTCTAAACAGTAACAGTCCAAATCCAAATATGAATTCTCTTGAAACTGCACAAAACTAGTAAGATTTTAGCGCAATACCAATCAAAAAACAAATCCAAATAAAATGCAAATTGGATTTTCTTGAGAGCATACTAAAATACATATATAAAACAATTCCTATAAGAGTAATAAAATAAAGAACTCTTTGCTTCAAAAACTAAAACGTGATATCAAGTATATTGTAAAAACAATAATTAAGTGTGAAATACCAGCACAAGAATAGATTAGTAAAATAATAGCCAGAAAAAGTCTTCCTATTGTATATGAGAATTTAATATGACATAAGAGGGGTTGTGTGGAAAATTAGTCTTTAAAAAGAGACACTTTGGGGGAAAATTAAGCTAGCTTTTACATTACACCATGTGTGAAAATTAATTTCAGAGTTGAAAATAAGACTTGCAAAACAAAGTATTGGAAAATTAAAAGAAAAATGTATATCAAAACTCAGGAAAAAAGAAAAAGATGGATAGATTTTTCTAAAATAACATTTAAAACAATTTTTAAGAGGTGAAATATAAATTAAGAAGAATAGTTCCAGCAAATTTGACAGTAATAAGCATAAACAATTTACAGTAGGAAATTATGAGGGGATTGGGAACTTTTAATTTAGATCTTGAAGAATAAGTGGTGTTTGGTAGTACAGAGATATAAGACATTCATTTATTAAGTGTTACATGTTTCTGTTGATAATCTATGTATTAATTCACAATGGATGTGTTCTATTATTTTTCTCTATAGTAAGGATATTATTTATAAAATACAATGAAATGTATATGTAAATAAAACACAATTGTGATGGTAACTTTGATTTCAGAGTACCACATGTGACATACAGATAGTTTGTTCTCTACTATTATGATATTTGCGGGGGGGGGGGAGGGGGGGGGGGGGGGGTAAGCTTGTGTAACTTCAGAAAGATGTAATTTTTCTAAAGGTAAGTTTCATTTCACTTTCCATTTCTCTAAGTTCTTCTTTTTTTCCTAATATGATGGTTTAGTCATAACCTATTCTTGATTTTTTTTAAAGACCTATCATATAATCAGACTATAGTTATACTTTGACAGTGTGTAATCAAAAAACTCTTACTAGCTATTGACGTAGAATTTTGTGAATTTTAAGTAAAGGATATAATTGATACCAAGACTGTGATGTATAAGAGTATTTCTTTCTCCACATGAGGATGTAGCTCTCTGTACAGTCTCTCTCTGTCCTGGACACACCTACATACTTTCCTTCCCCCAGTCCTTTCAATGCGGTTGTCATAATTGGGGTTCAGTGAATACTCTGTGTTCATATTATTATGGCATGTAAATACTGCTTATTGATAAGCCACATAGTAAAGTAGAATTACATTTCCTTGAATAATTATTTTGTTTTCCTAAAGTTAATAGTTCTGTAATTTTGAAAAATTTTGGTTAGTTCTTTATGCATCTGTGGCCGCTCCTCAGTACTGTTTTCCAACTTTCCAGAATCAAATTATCAGACGACTTACAGGTTTCCCCCCCACCCCCACCCCAAGTCCTCCCATCTCCTCAGGTCTTGGTTGAATGCTCCCTGGGCCTGCTGTTCATCTATTGCCCTGGGGCTTTCCTTCACCTCTTCTGTTGGTTTCACTATTTCCTCAATCTCCTATCTTTCTCTTTCTTGGTTTATTTCTCCCTCCGTAAGGTCCATGCGTCAGTGGCTTCTTTAGGAGGAATGCAGGAACTTCAGCCTTCACGTAACTGTCCAGTTGATCGTTTGGCTAGATATAAAATTCTATGTTGTAAATCAAGTTCCCTCAGAAATTAGAAGGTATTCTTCCATAATCTTCTCATACAGGGTTTGGCAAACTTTAAAGAACCAGATAGTAAATATTTTAGGCTTTGTGAGACATGTGGTCCTTGTTCATTTTTTTTTTTAATTATTTTATTTATTTATTTTTGGCTGCGTTGGGTCTTCATTGCTGCGCATGGGTTTTCTCTAGTTGTGGCTAGCGGGGGCTACTCTTCCTTGCGGTGCATGGGCTTCTCTTGCGGTGGCTTCTCTTGTTGCGGAGCATGGGCTCTGGGCGCACGGGCTCAGTAGTTGTGGCTCATGGGCTCTAGAGCACAGGCTCAGTAGTTGTGGCACACAGGCTTAGTTGCTCCGCGGCACATGGGATCTTCCCGGACCAGGGCTCGAACCCATGTCCCCTGCATTGGCAGGCGGATTCTTAACCACTGGGCCACCAGGGAAGCCCATGGTCCTTGCTCTGATGTAAAAACCATCCTTAGCTCATGGGCCTTACAAAAACAGGTCACGTGCCATAGTTTGCCAACCCCTGTTATGTTTTGTTGTCTTTGCAGATGGAGGCTCTAAAAGATCTGGTGAGCATCTGATGCTTAAACGTGAGCCATTTATATTTGGGAGGAAGCACTGGAAAGCCTATCGTAGGCTTTGTGAGTTGGCTTCATCATAGCGAGATTTGGAAGCAAGCTGGCTCTTCTCTTTGGGGGGAGCCCCAACTATCATTTACTGAGGCTTTTTTTCTTTAGGGCTATTCCATTTCTTCAGAGGAGAATCTTCCAGTGCCCTAAATAGAGTGTAGTCTCATGTCTTCTTGCCGTCTGCTGTGCTGGTGGCACTGAATCCCCAGCTGTTCTGGTTCAATTTCACAGGAAACAAACCTCTCGCTCCCTGAAACGTGGGACAGGACGCGGGAGAGGGTACTCAGTCCCCCGTTGGTGAGAAGTGGGAGTGAGCACCTGGGCTCTCGCGCATCCCTGTAGCTGTTTCCCTCCAGTTTCTGTCCCCGGGGCCTCACGTGCTGACTTTGCGATGGCACCTGTCTCCAGGTCTCCGTGGCGGATCAGCCCGTTCTCACTGGCATCCTTCCTGCATCTATCTGGGTTGTACAGTAGTTTCCTCCCATGTCATTTATTGCTCCCCTTCTACTTTTCATTCTTAACATGTGCCACCTGACATCTACTGTTGTCTCCTTTCTGATCATTTTTCTCCACATGGATTTATATAGCTTTTTCATTCCTCTCCTGCCATTTTATTAGGGTTTGAGAAAAAAGAAAAGATAAACACATGTGTTTAGTCCACAGTGTTTATCTGCAACAGGCTTACTTCAATGAACAAAGTAGTATTTCTGAACGTTCATCTATTTATGGAATAAAAGCCCATATTTTAAATTCTGTGTTCCCATTTATACTTCAGGCATTTGAGAACTCGTTTTGATTTTGAATAAACCATTTGAATCTGTTGAATTTGCTGTTGTACATACTTCTAACTTTGGCATAAAACTTGTTTTAGTTAACATAGTATTGAACTGAAGATTATTACAAAGAGGAAAGAATCCATTACATGTTTTAAATTAAACAGATTTAAAGCTTAGCCCTATATTTCCATGGGAATTTTTTTTTAAGAGAATTTAGAGAGAAACTATCTTCTCTTGAATGGCAGAGGAAGTATTCATTTGATTGGCCTCATGGCTCTCTCTTACTTCCTGGGAATTGTTACTGTAATTTGAGACAGTACTGGAGAATTAAGCAGTAAACAGAAACCAGAAAAAAAAAAAAGAGGGAGAGGACTAAGATTTGGTTAACTCAAATTGAAATTCCCCTAAAAAAGGCAGAAGAAAATAAAGTTAACAGCTGAAAACCAAAGTGGACTTTTTGACCCAAAGAGATTTTTGACTCATTCCTTAAATAAAACATCATAAATGTGAATTGAATATAATACATATTCTGACTGTTAACCAAGTTATGTTATGTATAATTAGTGGTACTAAGGTATTTTATTTTTTCTTTTCCCCTACTTCTTCCAACTTTGTACCTCCCTTCTAGAATATAAGATTAAAATATAATTGAAAAATTTTAAAACACTGAGTAAACTCATGATAAATTGATATATATTTTTCTGCCTTAATGGCACACATACCTGAGTGTTTCTGTGAAAAATATGTTTATTTTAAATAGCCACCTTCAGATGGTAAAATGTTGGCCTAATTACATAGTCACACAGATGCTATTAAAAGTAGTTTAAATTAACTGAGTTAATTTTTCAACTGCAGTTGACCCCTGAACAACACAGGTTTGAACTGTGCAGATCCACTCATATGCAGATTTTTTTCAATAAAATACTCCAGTACTACACAATATGCAGTTGACTGAATCTGCAGAAGCAGAACCATGGATACAGAGGGCAGACTGTGGGACTTGAGCATCCTCAGATTTTGGTACTGCAGCAGGTCCTGGAAGCAGTCCCCCACGGTGTTTAAGGGTCAGCTGAGTATCACTGTATACTTGAGATTGTACAGAACATATTGATGGTCAGTCTGGTTTCTAACAACATATATATCACTGATGTCTACCATAGTGGCATGAAACTTTGGGGCATAAAATTTGTAATCAGTATTTGATATAAATCATCAGATGAAGAATGGCCTAATTTTAATAGTCAAATTTTTGGCTTTTTAAAATACTTCATTTTCTTTTCATATGTGCTTGAATCCATAAGCCTTAATACCCAAGTAAAGGATGAACACTTGTCTGAGACTATATTTTAAGGATATCAGAATGAGTTCTATTTTGCTTAAAAGTATTCTGTTAATGGTAAAATGAAACTGAAAGAGATATGTGGGTAGTTTTTACAGAGTTGACATATAATTGAGTTCAAGCTAGAAGTTAAAGCATTTTTGACCAATTGTCACAGCCTCTGTATGAATAGTAAATTGTATGAATAGTAAATTACATGGTATGACTTAGCATAAACATATTTTTTTAAGTATCTACTCTACTTACACATTCACCTGTTAATGTAACAAATTAGGCACAGATGATGGATTTTGATAACAGCAGCTGTCAGCCTCTGTTAAAATCAATCAGTGGCAAGATTGTATATATTAAATCCTGTATCATGTCAGGAAAATTTATTTACAGTTTAACCACTAATAAGCATAACTGCCAGCTTTGCTGTTGATATTTTCATGATGTGTTTTGGCTCTAGGTATTTTACTTGTAGGCTAATTCTTTTCAGTTAAAACTTTGTGGCCTCTTTGAGACAAACTGTCCAAATGCCTTATGACATATCATACTTAAAAAAAGTTTTACTATTCCCTAGAGTTGAATATTACCTTGAAAATTTCCCACATTTTTTAGTTCTCTTACTTTAAGAGTTAATGACGCTAAATTTTTTAAATGAGTATATCAGAATTTATATTTCCAAATGAGTATTCTTGAAAGTAGCATTTATTCCAGTGATGTAACCATTGTGGGAGCCATCTGTAACCTCTGTTTGGATATTGATTTGAAAGTCTGTTTCTAACCACTCAAGAATATAATTTTATTACTTCTAGTTACTCCTTAATTTATACTGAAAATGTGATCACTAAGCTTCATTCACCAGACTTGGCCTTTGAATGGTCTTCAACTGTTTCAAAACTTAAATACCTCCTTTCTCCTTTTCCATGGATACAGATTTGTCACTATTGAAGTTATTTAGGAGAACCCATCGCACACATCTGCCCAGTTAACCTTTTTCATTGCAGTTTAAATCATATTTCTTCTTCTTCAAGAATTTTAATGGATCCCCATTATCTACTAACAAGACCAAATTTATCCTTCCTTCCACTTTTTGCTCACCACCAACTTTTCTAGACCCCAAACAAAAATATTTTCCTTGTTTGCTGACCCTACCAGTTGGGGTTCCACAGCATCTGATATTTTTCCCCTGCCATCTGCCTTAACCAGGTTATGGTCTAGTCGTTTGGGCAGTAGCTTCTTCCTACTTCATGTGGAGTTTCTTCAAGGCAACGGACCGTTTCTTACTCATTTTTCTTCCCTTACAGTGCCTAACCCAGAGCCGGGCACATAATATACCCTCAGTAAATATTTATGGAACAAAATGTGTTACAGGCTAAGAATTCCATTCCAAAGAGAAGTTCTGAATTTTTTTTAAGTGACCATATTCAAGATATGTTAGAAGGTACTAATTCAAATAATTTTTTTAAAATCAATTCATATTCTTTCTCTTCCTTTTATTCTTATTCAGTTGCTCTTCTCTACTTTCCTCCTGAAAAATGAGAATTGAGCAGGGAATCATGGTAGCTGAAGTCTCTCACAGCTTAGGGGAATGATGGCTTGGTGGAAAAGGGCAGCTGACTGAATCATTTTGAAGCCTTGAATTAGTTCCCTGAACTAAGCTTACTGGTTTTCATTACATGTGTCTGTGTAACTGATTTTCATCTTATGTATGGGTATAAACAAATTAGAACTGGCAAGGGCCTAATAGATTATATAATCCAATTTCTTGCGGAAGAAAACTGAGGATGAGGAATTTGTCTAAGATCAAATAGCAAGTTAGAGGCAAAGTCAGAACTGGAACTGAGGTTTTCGACCTCCCAATATACACCTTTATTTGTATATTCCTGTTTTGCTGCCACCCTTGATTGCTGGCAGAAGTTTCTTGGTCTCTAGGATGACAAAGACTTAATAGGCAGCTACCGCATACTTAAGACAACAGAACTTAGAAGATCGGGCATGTGAAACTGAACAAGGAGACTGAACACCTAAAGTACTAATAGTATCTTTTTCCCCAAAACTATGTTAAAGTGAGGTTTATGGTACTGAATACTGTATGCTTACCCTGTGTACTCTACGGTCATATGTTTTGATCTGACTGTGTTGTGTTAATTCTCTTTTCAAATATGAATTAAGTTTAGTTAATATTGAAGTCTCTTTAAATTGCTTTTCTGTTTTCCAATAAGAATTTCTTCTTCCCTTACCTTCTTACCTCCTGTTACCTCTCTAACTCTAGATAGAATATAAGCAATTTATTTAATCTTAGTTTGCTCTTTAATGAAATCAAGATTAAGATTTTTAAGTTTCTTTATAATGAACATGTACTACTTGATCTGGAGGTATTTTAATATAGTATTTTTAAAATTATCTAACTAAATAATATTACTTCCAAATGTAATGTTTCCAAGAGGTTACTTAATAGTAATGATTATTATAATAACTAGTAAGCACTTTGAAATTCTCTATGTTATCTTGTTTTATCTACATAGACATTTACTACATAGGATTTGAAGAAAGGATGCTTAAAAAGAAGTTAACAAACTGTGGTCTAGTAGAAACCCAGATCTAGAGATACAGAGACACCTGCCACGTGCATTCAGGGCATCCAGCAAATCTCAGTTACGAAGAAGCTTGTATCAGGGCTGTGCCATCTTGTCTTCAGTTTTCAGCATTAGGTCGCACTTCATGCTGAGAGCGAACAGTGACTTCTGCCACATGTTTGAAAGACCAATTGCAATCAGGCATTGCATTTTTATTATACTTTCTATTCTATATTGATGGTTTCTGTTCTGTGGCTACCAGTAACATTTGCTGAATGCTTACTTGTATGCCAGGCACAGTTCTGACACTTGACATGAATCAAATCTTTTGATCCTCATAAAAACTCTTATGAGGTAGGTTCAGTTATTATCCCCATTTTTCTGTTGTGGAAACTGAGGGACAGAGAGCTTAAGTAATCTGGCCAACATCATATATTTAGTTAGTGAAGGAGCTGAGTATAAACCCAGAGAGTTTGGCTCTAGAGATTGTGTTCTTAACCATTATGCTACACTGCCTCTTGGAAAACCTATGTACTTAGGTTTTATAACAAGTAAATATTTAGCTTATTTTCTTTGGTGGTAGAAGTGGAGGAGTGAAGGGAGGTGGGGGATGGAGCTGTAGGCCTCTGGGGGCTGAATTAGACTTCCTCATGCCTTGCAGCGAATGTTTGCGGCCAGAAAAGGATTGAGACCTTCTGCCTTAAGGAAATTAGCTTAATTTGGGTCTGGATCACTGGAGTTCTAACTTGTGACATTTTAGTCTTCTACCTTCATGGTATATATTTCATGAAACGTTTCTGATAAATTCTTTTGTTTTCACAGAAACTCAAACAGAAGAATCAACAGCTGAAGCAAATTATGGATCAATTACGAAATCTCATCTGGGATATAAATGCCATGTTAGCAATGAGGAACTAAACTGATATTTAAATTTCCAGCATTACACATGTTATACCATTTTTTTCCCCCCTCAAGTATTTTTTCCCTTTAAAGAAGATTATTTTATTCTAGTCACTAGAATGAAAGTTTCTTTCTTTTTTTTTTTTTTTTTGCGGTACACGGGCCTCTCACTGTTGTGGCCTCTCCTGCTGCGGAGCACAGGCTCCAGACGCGCAGGCTCAGCAGCCATGGCTCACGGGCCCAGCCGCTCCGTGGCATGTGGGATCTTCCCGGACCGGGGCACGAACCCGTGTCCCCTGCATCGGCAGGCGGACTCTCAACCACTGCGCCACCAGGGAAGCCCTCTGGCTATGTTTTATTCTAAACTCTAACCTGCCTGAGACAGACCCGGGTGGCTGATGGCTGCCCTTCAGAAGGCTCTGCTCCCAGCCTTTCCATGTCACACTCTGGCAAATCCAGCACTGGCTTTGCCTCTTCCTCAACCTGGATGCCCTGTCCTCCCTTCCTTCTGTCTGGTTAAATCCTTAACAATCCTTCAAGGCTCCTGTGAACCCACTGCTGGCCCTCACATCTTTCCACACTGATTTCCACCATCTCTGAACTCTGCAGACTCCTGGGTCAATCACACCCTACCTTCTGCTCTTATGTTCCAGCTTCATGTGTGTGCTTTGTCTGCCCAGGTAGACGGAAAGCTCCCTGGGATTCAGATGAATTTTCCCTCTTCCTCCACCCAGCACAATGCTATAACCATCACAGATATTCAGTTAATAGTGTTCAAACTGTTTGAATCAAAATTCATTTTAGTTCGTAAATTTCTACTGATTAGGAAATGATCTTTTTACTTTGTACGTTACCTTGAGCAGTTATTTCTCTTTTCTTTTCACTATCCTTGATGCAAGAAACAATACTTTTGAGGTCAAAATATTTCCATATTAATGATTAAATTTATACATTAATGAATGTATTATTATTAATGATTGGCACCCATAAAATTAAAGATAAACCAAAAATCTTAGAATAAGCTCCTATACTACGATATCAAGAGGAGTTCAAACTCCATCATAGATGGAGTGCCATCTATGAACAGACAGTACAGAGGGCGATACTTTCATACATTAAGTCACTAAGTCATTAAAACAATCATATGAATAAGATATTATCCTTGCCTTTTTACAGGTGCTAGAAAGGGGGTGAGGACTGAAAGCAAAGAATATATTTTCCTTGGAGAATTAATCATAGAGGATCAACCAAAATGATAGATTTTATGTGCCAGGCCCTGTTCTACACGTAATAACTCATTTAACCTTCACAACTTCGTGAAATAGTAACTATTAATTCTCCCACTTTACAGATCAGGAAATGGAAGCCCAGGGAAGTTAAATCACTTGCCCCAGGCCACGCAGCTAGAAAGTAGCTGAATTGGATTCAAATCTTAGTCTGGCTCCAATGTCCTCATTCTTAACCAGTACACGGACTAGAAGATTCAAACACATGGGTAAAACATAGACAGATGTGCATGGTATTCAAATCTGAATGGCCCTGGAAGATCTAGACCTTGAGCTCCTCTTAGCAATCAGGTGACCCCTCACAGACACACAGACACACACACACACACACACACACACACACACACACACACAATGAGGTGATATTAGTACAGCCCTTAGCGTGGGCCTGGTCCATACAAGCGCTTGGTAAATGCCAGGCACTCCTGCCATGGCCACCACTGTTTTCCCTTCAGGGGCAGTGGAAGGACCAGCACGACTTCAAGACTACGACTTCCTAGAACATGAGACTGGAGTCTTGCTTGCTTTCACAGGAGAAGATGTAGCACCCTTTATCTTATTTTCTCCTTCTGCAGTGTTATAAAGGACTATTTGAACAGGCAGGTCGTGGAAAGGAAAAAGAAAGTAATATTTGAAAAAACAGAGCTCACATCGTCTTCCTTTTTTCTTTCCTGCCCCAGATATCTTTTGCACTTTCTTTCATCTATTTTCCTTGTCTCTAGTTACATACTTGTTCAGAAGCCACCAGGCATTTCACCATAAGGAGAATCCAAATGCATCCAGCAAATCAGACCAGTACTTTGGCTGAGCACAGCACTCCACTCTGTGAGGCCTGGTAGCTAGAATTCAAGACCACCTGTGCTCCAAGGGCTCTGGGCAGAGTCCGAAATGCTCTTACAAGCCACAGTTGGTTACAGAGCACAAAAGCTGGGCAAGAGGGGGTTTACTTCCGGGGGTGGGGGGGTAGATTGCCTTCTTCAGCCAGGGCAGTGCTGTCTGGAGGAATCTCCTGAAGAAACAGCAGCATCTCAGAGGACATGAACAACTGACCCGTGATGGGGCTTGTCGGCCACGCGTCATTCAAGGTGAATGTATCATTCTGAACATCAACAAGAAGGGAATCTTCCTGGCACATAATAGGCACCCAGTAAATATTTCTTGAATAAATGACTCATAAGGTTATAAAGAATTTATGAAAATAATACACAACAGGTATTAACTTCTGTGCCCTGTGGTTTATAACCACTGCCTCACCTAATCCTTATAGACACTACTATGAGGTAGGTGTTATTAAAACCCTCATCTTACAAATGAGGAAACTAAGGTGAAATAGCTTGCCCGGGAGACATTCAGATAATCTTAGATTGAAACATATGCTCCTGGGACTTCCCTGGTGGCGCAGTGGTTAAGAATCCACCTGCCAATGCAGGGGACATGGGTTCGAGCCCTGGTCTGGGAAGACTCCCACATGCCGCGGAGCAACTAAGCCTGTGGGCCACAACTACTGAGCCTGCGCTCTAG